GGGGGAGGGAGGGAGGGAGTGAGGGAGGGAAGGAGAGAGAGAATGAAAGAGAGCAAGAGAGAGAGAGAGAATGGAAGAGAGAAAGAGAGAGAATGGAAGAGAGCGAGCGAGAGAGAGGAGAGAGGATGAGGAGTGAGAGAGAGAGAGAGAAAGAGAGAGAAAGAGAGAGAAAGAGAAAGCGAGAGAAAGAAAGAAAGAGAGAAGGAAAGAAAGAGAAAGAAAGAGGAAGAAAGAAAAAGAAAGAGAGAGAAAGAGAGAAAGAAAGAAAGAGAAAGAGAGAAAGAAAGAAAGAGAAAGCGAGAGAAAGAAAGATAGAAAGAAAGAGAGATAGAAAGAACAAAAGAGAGAAAGACAAACAGAGAAACAAAAAAACAAACAAAGAGAGAGAGACAGAGAATAAACAAATACAAACAACAAAACATACATAATCAACAACTAACTTCTAACTTCAAACTTCTTCCCGTAAAAGAGAGACAAAAAGGTAAAACCCCGAGCCACGCCAGAGATTACATTGTCCACTCAACGCATCCGTGCAATTGCAGTGTCAGTCTGCAATCTCGACACCTAGGCATCGATTGCGCCCTTGCTTGCAAAGTGCTGCAAGTCACGACAAGCCTTCCACTGGAATTTTGACGTTCGTACGCCGCGTTTAAAATTGAAAACTTACTTACTAGCATTATGCTTTATGATGATGATGATGATGGTGATGATGATGATGATGATGATGATGATGATGATGGTGATGATGATAATAACAATAATAATAATAACAACAGCAACAACAACAACAACAATAATAATAATAATAATAATAACAATAATAATAATGATATCAATACAAAAAATAACAAAGATATTAATAATAACAGCAGCATCAACAATAACAATAATAACAATAACAGCAACAAAAATGACAATAACAACAACAACAACAATAATAAAAAAACTCAACCCTAACCCACCCCCACCCCCCACTTTTACCTTCCATACAAATAACCAAATAAATGAACAAAAAATGAGACAAATAATCATACATAAATCATACATCAGTTTCCCCTCTGCATCTGTTGTCATGGCAACAAGTCCTGCGTCAGGTGTAGGAGCCGATGTCGCCCACTTAAGCAATTTTCTCACATGAACAATTTGCGTGGAAAGGGAAGGAGAGAGTGAGCGTGAGAGTGAGGATGAGAGTGAAGATGAGAGAGAGAGTGAACGTGAGAGCGAAGGATGAGAGTGAAGATGAGAGTGATAGTAAGAGTGGAAGTGAAGATGAGAGTGAGAGTGGTAGTGAGGGTGAGGGTGAGAGTGAGAGTGGGGCTGAGGGTGAGTGTGAGGGTGAGAGTGAGGGTGAGAATGAGGGTGAAGATAAGAGTGAGAGTGAGGGTGAGAGAATAAGAGCAAGAGTAAGAGTGAGAATGCGAGTGAAAATGAGTATGAGGGTGTTATCCTTGTCTTCATCATCATTACTATCATCATCACCAACATCATCATCATCTCCACCACCATCATCATCACTATCCTTACCACCATCATCATCCATTATCACACTATCACCATCACCATCACCATTACCATTACATTACCACGACACAATTTCACACGAAGGGAGGTTTCGGCTTAACACGAGGAGACAGAGGGCAAATCCGGTCAATTTTAACGTTTGGCCGCTTTAATTGTCCGGTTGCTGATCAGATTACGCAGCGGAAGACAGGGCCGAAAGAGAGGGGAAGAGAAGGAGAAGAGAAGGAGAAGGAGAAAGAGAAGGAGAAAGAGAGAGAGAAAGAGAAGGAGAAAGAGCAGGAGACAGAGAAAGAGAAGGAGAGAGAGAGAGAGAGAGAGAGAGAGAGAGAGAGAAGAGAAGAGAGAGAGAGAGAGAGAAGAGAAGAGAGAGAGAAGAGAGAGGAGAGAGCGCGATAAAGAAAGAGAAAGAAAGGAAGAGAGCGCGATAGAGAAAGAGAAAGAGAGAGAGAAAGAGAAGAAGAGAGCGCGATAGAGAAAGAGGAAAAGAGAAAGAAAGGAAGAGAGCGCGATAGAGAAAGAGAGAGAGAAAGAGAGGAAGAGAGCGCGATAGAGAAAGAGGAAAAGAGAAAACAAAGTGGAAGCGCGCGTATACGTTTTTCGTATCTATTGGCATATATATGACAATCGAACCAAAGACAACACACGAGTGAGTGAACACGCAGAGCCTACGCGTACACACACGTACACACACACACACACAAACACATCATCATTTCCTTTCCCTTTCCCCTCCCAATCCCCTCCCTCTATTATCAACTCTTCCTCCTCTTCCCCTTCCTCTTTCTCCTCCTCCCCTTCCCCTTTCTCCTCCTCCCCTTCCTCTTCCTCCTCCTCCTCCCTTCCTCTTCCTCCTCCTCCCTTCCTCTTCCTCCTCCTTCCCTTCCTCTTCCTTCTCCTCCCTTCCTCTTCCTCCTCCTTCCCTTCCTCTTTCTCCTCCTCCCCTTCCTCTTCCTCCTCCTCCCCTTCCTCCTCCTCCCCTTCCTCTCCTCCCTCCTCCTCCTCCTCCCCTTCCACTTCCTCCTCTCCCCCTCCTTCTATCACCCCTTCCCCCCCTCTCGTCTAATCGCCTCCGCCTCCCAGACTGAAAAGCCGCCGTTGCAGAGCCTACGTCGGGATTGCAAATGCCTTGCAATTATCTACTGGAGTTGCAATTATAACGCTTCGCGGCGAATTACGTGTTTTTGGGAAGAAGGAGAGAGGGCGATGAGGGGCGGGGGGAGGGGGGGGAGGGAAAGGGAAAGGGGAGGGGGGGAGGAAAGGGGAGGGGGAGGGGGGAGGGGAAGGGGAAGAGTGGAAGGATGGGGAAGGGGAGGAGGAGTGGAAAGGGGAAAGGGGAGGGGGAGAATGGGAGGGGAAAAGGGGAAGAGTGGAAGGAAGGGGAGGGATAGAGGACGATAAGGTGGTGGGAGAGGGGGAGAGGGGAGGAAGGGGACGAAACGATGAGGGGAAGGGATGGGTAAGTGGAGGAGGAAGAGTAAGGAAAAATTAAGAAGAAGGAGAAAAACAATAACAACAACAAAACAACAAAAACAAATAAGAAGAAACAGAAGTAAAGAAAAGAAAAGAAAAAAAAACAGGAAAGGGAAAAAAGAAAGAAAAGAAAAGAAAAAAAAGAAGAAGAAAAGAAACGACAAAAAACGAAAGCAACCCCCCCCCCCCACACACACACACGAAAAGAAGAGGTGAGAAAATGCCCAAAATACCAGGCACTTTCCCAGATACCAAATACCTCATTAACGCCATGGAAGGAATACCGCTATCTTTTTTTCTTCTTTCTTCTTATCCTTCCCTTTTCTTTCTTTTTCTTCCTTTTTTCCCCGCTCACAATTCATGGTGATGGTGATGATAGTGATGGTAGTAGTGATCATGATAACAGTTACGGTGATGCTTAATGATGATGGTGGTGATACTAATTATAATGATAATGAGGGTCATGATGGTAATGATGATGATGATGAT